AACTCATACAACTAATCACAATGCCCCTAAATTATATATCCAAACGAGATTCTCTCTTGGATCAAATTACACGAATATTTACCACTTTCAACTAATTCAATTATTGTTGTAAATTAGGTTCAAAATAACATTATTATACATCCTAATTTAAAAATTCGGGATCTCAAAAACTACGATTTGAATTTCGAGACTTGTTCTGACCCAAAAAAAAAGAAATGAAATTCGAGACTTATTACATCTTTCCGCTCCTAAGAGCATAGGACGGAGCCAAAAGTCAATCTTGAGGGGGGGCAAATAGTAGTGTAATAAGAAAATTTTTATTTAGTGTGCATGTTATTCAATAAGTAATCATTTAATGTCCATTTTTTAAATGTATACCAAAATTCACTTCACATTGTAACATTATCGATTTTCAATAAAAGGGATAAATTTAATATAATTTTATCGAATTAACTAAACTTTAAAAAAATCACATCAATTTCATAGCATAAACGATAATTTTTGCTCAATTTTATTACCTATTAACTCGAGTACAATTAACCTTTGGGAAGGGGGAAGAGAGAGAGAGAGGGAGAGAGAGAGAGTGAAAAATCATAATTTAAGGGTTATTGTGAGGGGAAACATAAACTATAATAAAATCATAATATTTTAGGTATAATCAATCATATAATATTGAAAACTTGAGAAGAAAAAGGTGGGGGGAGGATGGCCCCCCTTGCCCTTAACTTAGAACTGTCCCTGCCTAGCCAGTCAATACCTAGGTGAGATGAGAATCTGTGATGTTGTAGAAGGGTATAACCTTCTTTGATAGGATAGGATAAGGACATCTTTCTGAAACACGATATTTTGTTTGTTTGTTTAGGTTAACCGTATACATAGTAGAAGCAGGAGTCAAAGTTGTAGGTATACATTGCACTCCACAGAGTCGAAGACCAAAATAGGCTGGCTGGCAGAAGAAAAGTTAGTAAAACTGGTGAACAGTAAAAAGAAGTCCACATTGATAGGTATAGCATAGTAATCTTATATTTTAATACCATTATCATATATGTGTGTGTGTGTGTGATGAAATAGGTCCAACATGATGCCATTATGTCTTACTCAAAAAAAAAAAATAGTTTGACCACCAATAACTATGCTTCCTCTTTCACATAGCCCACAAACCTATCGCGTTTATCACATTGCACTTTTAAGTTTTAACTATTGTTATTGGTTTTAAATTATCCACTCAACAATCACATTCGCCACATTGCATCTCAAACTATGGGTATTGGTTTTACATTGTCTTAATTACCGACATTACTACATATTTCCAAATCATGTTGCGAAACCATACCAAATAGTTGAGAGTATAACGCAAAAAATTTCACAGTTGTGGGGCAAAGTGACATTAAAACCATAATTGAAGTGTAAAGTGTAATTTTCCCTTAGAAAAATATGAGAGAGAGAGAGAGAGAGAGAGAGAGAGAGAGAGAGAGAGAGATTATTTGTTAGTTGAAGAAAACTGTTAAGTTAGCAGCGGCAGGTAACAATCTTCCGAGCTGCTAGTCTATTTATTATAGAAATGGTGGTTGAAAGTTGTGGGTGGGCTTTGGCTTCTATTTTCTACAAGAAATTTTAAACGCAGTTTCTCCAAACCAGGAGAATGTTAGGCCAAAATTGAAGACTTAATCAACATTAAACATTGCGAAAGTCAAAAGGATGCCTTGGGCAAAATTTGAAATATTTTGAATAACAAAGAGATATCCCAATCACGACCCGCAAGTAATCCGATAATTACTATGCATCAAGTCCCAAAAATAAGTCTCAATAACCTTGCTTAAGATTGTCAACAAATGGGATTTTGATTTGTTCAGATCTAAATCCGATAAATAAATCCGAATTTTGAATTTGATCAATTTATTTGACGGATTTAAAAAAATACCACATGCGAGACACGCACATCTTGTCTCCATAGTGCAAATATTCCAGTGTACTGGTCGATCGAGCACTCAGATTCTTCAAAAATCTTTTTCGTTCTACTGAACATCTCTGAAACTTTGCTGACTTACTTTGTCAGACACATATGAAAAGATATAATTTTTTATGTGTATATTTTTTGATAATATATAATATTTTGTGTGTGATATACACTATCTGGTACTACCATGTGGTATTGGCTTAGCACTGGATATTTTCTCTAGTAAAATTCTTTATCATTGAAAAGTCGACAGATATAAGAGCAGTATTCCAATCCTTATGTCTCTTTATACCTCAGTCTCATTCTTTCTTAGGTTGAAGATCAACCGGTGGGTTGAAAACTAGATGTAGACTAAGAATAAACCCAACCATATAGATCTTGTGTTCATTATATGACTAAATGAGCACTTGATACATGAGTATATGATGTAGATGAAATCCATTGCAAGTACGTATATTAATTATAATATGAACGCTTGCATTGTGTTACGTGCACAATTTTTTAGCAAAATAAAAGTGAAAATAAGAGAGAGAGAGAGAGAGATTCCAACTGTTAAGATTCAAATTCAGGATGTTTAGGTTTATAACTCGTCTTTGTTATTACTTGAATTATCTCTTGAAGTTTATACCTACTATAAACAAGGGTCATAAGTACACATCACATTACTTCATGAATCGAGTTGGAAGTTCTATATGCAAAGTTGGTTATTTTGATTATTAAGTGATCTAGATCGGATAGTAGCATAGTATTATGGGTCGTTGGGATCAACGTAGGGGTGGTTTGGGTTGGTCAAATTAGTTGATTTTTTCGAAATCACTTCTACATACATGAGTTTCAAAACGTTCATGTTCAGTTAGAAACAAGCACAAGCGTGATGAGCTCATGCAATCCTTGAAGGGGATACAATTACCTTGGGTGAATTTTGGAAAATTCCTTCTTTTAGTCCCATAAAACGCATTTTTGATATTCTAGAAAATTGAATAACTTTACCGTTTTGAAGTCATAATTGATTTTCGTCATTTTTGTCTTAATTCGGGCGATTAGTAAATTTTAGTCATTTGTTTAGTTTGGAACTTTCTTTTTTGGCAAAATTTGTAATAATGGTCTAATTGCACATATATGTTTCCTAGTTTGTTTAGAGTGTTTGCTATTATATAAATTCTTCAAAGCCTTTGTGCATGGCAATTTTTGATGAATTAATAAAATTGAGAGGGTTTTCTATTTTCTCCAATTTTTTTGGTATTATGTGGAATCAATATAATACACTACAAGAAAATTTGGGAAATTCTGCTGTTTGACAAACATTGAAAAAGGCCAAAAAAAAATGCCAAAAAATGTACTAGTGGCTGGAAAGAGAAACAATAGCGTTTATTTAAACACCGGACATGTGAGATTCAAGCTATTTTTTCCATCTTTGCGAAGATAAGTTAATCTGAGAGAGAGAGAGAGAGAGAGAGAGAGGAGTAACTGAAAATTATTGAGGAAGAGAGACTCGCAAGAATAATCACCTGAAAATCATAGGTTTCATCAACGAAAAATAGTTGCCCAAGTGCCCGAATTTTTTTATTTCAATAAGTAAGATAATTTCTATTAACCAAAAATGATTCATATACAAAAGGTGTATCCTTTTACAATTGACACCCAAATAAACAAATTGAAAAAAACAAAGGGCAGAGGACGGTAGCTCTTCTAGACAGAGAAGTAGAAGAACAACCATCCTAGTAGTACCAGATTTTTATTTCAAGGAATCTACCAAATTGTATGCTACGTGCCAAATCCAACCTTCAAAAATAGGTAGAAGGATGAACATTGGTCGAGCTCTATCTATTTTGTGAGTCAATTTAACCTTACTCTTTTAATAATATTAATTGAACTTTGTTTGCTGATCTACTTTACTGACATAATCTCTTTATTATTTGATTAATTGATAGTAAAACTATCTAATACCAAACTCGCCACTAATTCAATGGTTATAGTAAATTGTATTTACAAATTCATTCAATTAATCGCATTTAAATATCATTACTCTAACTCTCTTAACAGAAACTATATACAATCACAATGGACCAGATGTTTGACTAGAAACAAACAGCTTAATGAAGCAAGTCCGAGTCTCCACGTGCAGTTCTAAGTTGTAAGCTAACGTTGTTAGTTGGTCTGAAAGGTGATCCAGACCTAAAACACCATACGCACATCCCTCACAAGTTCTAACAACATTACCAACCTTTTTCCTACATTTTATATTATCTTATTCCAAAAATACGTTATTGAAGAAACAAACTCTAGTCTATTTCTAGATTAGGGTTTGCAGTTAGCTCTTATTTAGGTTAGATTAGATACAAGTGTAAGCAATGTATGAATAATATGTTCTCAATTTTTTATACGTACTGACACAAAATTAAAAAAAAGATATGACCCAATAACACAAATAATAAAGAGATCAAACAGGGTAGTATCAATCACAAAGATCTTGAATTTTGATACGATCAACCTGTTTACCTGGTATTTAAGAATTACTAATTTGTCTTACATTCACAAACTATGCAAAGATAAGAGGAACGCAAACGAAATTACAAATAAAAAATGACGCGACACAAACTCAATTGATAATTCTAATTAAACCAACAATCCGATGGATTTTATGGATTATAAAATTCATATTTATACCAATTTATATCCTTTTTATAGGATGAAATTAAAGAAAAATGCTAGGTGGGTTATAAGTAGACGTTGTAGGTTAGAAACTTGGAAAGACGTTGAAAGGAGAACGGAATTCACCCCACCAAGCAACCTCTCTCTCTCTCTATCATAGAGAGATAATGTATTCTGATGTAACTTATAAGCGTTTGTTAGCCTAGAAGTTGCATCAATCGCTGGTGCAGGTCTGTCCAAACCCTCCCACTTCCTAACGGAAAACACCTTCTCTTCTCCTCCATATATTCTCTTGGGATCTGGTTTCTTTCCCTTGTCTCCTTTTCCTGCATGTTATCCTCCCACAAAGCTCTCAAACATTCATACCCTTGGACATCCTAAATCAACCACTCTCTCTCTCTCTCTCTCTCTCTTTGTGGGTGAGGTTTTTGGTTTGATCTAACTGTTCCTTGGCGTTGTTGGTTTCAACTATTAGATTGTTTAGAACGAAGAAAACGCGAAACAGAAAGAGAAGTTGAAAGCTTATAATTAGGGCTTTTCACAGTCTCTTCACTGGTGGTGTTGTCTATTGTTCATCAGAGGTCAGATGTGCACCAGAGGACATTGGAGGCCTGCTGAAGATGAGAAGCTCCGGGAATTGGTCGAACGTTGTGGACCGCATAATTGGAATGCAATAGCCGAGAAGCTACAGGGAAGATCAGGTAATATATCAGATTTTGATCTGACAACAACTTCTATATGGTGCATGAAATTAGCCGACCCCAAATTGTTAAGAAAAAAGCTTTGTTATTGAGAGTAACTCGAGTCTGGTGTTTGGTACCCTTTTGATTTTATAGTGGTACTCTTAATTTAGGAAATTTCTCTTGGTTTTTTTGGGCTTAATCTCTCGAATTGTTAGCGAAATATCTAGTCTTTTAGTATGCAGACTAGGTTTTGAGGAACTTTTCTCCCACCAGACCTTCCATTTGTACCTTTCTGAACATTTTTTAATCTTCTTTGGAAGATCTTTGTTTTATCAGAAATAAAAGTTATTTACCTAAAGAAAAAACCTTGTATTTCGTGTGTTAATGATACTATATAGACAAACTAGGGTAAAGTATCAACAATAACTCTTGTAGGTTAATAACTGTTAGAAAAGAGAAACCTACTTTATTTATTTGTTTATTTATGTACTACTACTACTACTACTAATAACTGCTACTAACACATATTGCAAAAATTTTAACCAGGGAAGAGTTGTAGGTTGAGGTGGTTCAATCAGTTGGACCCGAGAATCAATCGAAGCCCTTTCACAGAAGAAGAGGAGGAAAGACTTCTTCTTTCTCATCGAGTTCATGGGAATCGATGGGCGATAATCGCGAGGCTTTTCCCTGGTCGTACTGATAATGCAGTGAAGAATCATTGGCATGTGATCATGGCTCGAAGATGCAGAGAAAGGTCAAGGATGTATGCAAAGAGAGTTCATCCAACGGCGATAATTGACCAGAAATCCTTATCGAATCTACATATGCCGTTGGATCCCAAGAAAAGGGTTTTTCTACCCTTTGATGAGAAATACCCTGATAGATTTGAATACCCTTTTGAACATAACTGTGCTCTAAATTTCTCACAACTACACTATGACAATGGGGTTCATCTTATGAAGATGGATGAAGGTAGCAATAGTGAAATGATCCACCATAAACTTATCATGTCTCCCCTGATTCTTCTGCAATGGCAATCACCAATGTATGAATTTTGTGTTATTTAATTTTAGTCCTTAATATTTCAATTGCTTCAATTTAGTTCTGACGTATCAAATTTGAGTTTGTGATCCCTGAATCTGACATCATCCAAATATGCGATAAAATTAGACTAGGTGTTGCTCATGTGACGTGACCAGATGCGTTTCTTCAGGTCGTGTGAGCAACACGTGGTTTACTTCCATTAAAATTTTGGATAGTATTAGACTTGGGGATTACACAAACTCAAATTAAATACTCCAAGAGTCTAATTGAAGCATTTTGAAATATTGAGAACTAAAATGACACAGAACAAGTACACTGGAGATTGCCACTGTAATTAAACATTTTTTCACCTTATCTGACCTATTTTTGCTCTGATTCCTAAAATATTGCAGATAGAAGTCAAGCTGTGGAGTTTTATGATTTTCTTCAAGTAAATACAGACTCTAACAGAAGTGAAGTCATCGACCAGGCAAGAAGAGATGATGAAGAGGTAGAGCAAGAAGCAACTGAACAGCAAAGCACCCCTAGAGTCACATACATAGATTTCTTATCAGTTGGAGGCTCCTCTTAAGTTCTCAGTCTCTTGGTGATAAGGACAAAAGGATTTAGATCTTCTCCCTTACATTTTCAGTAACTTCATTCAATGGTAGATCATCTACTGTGTATGGGTGAGAAGTTGAGAACCCACTTTTGAATCCCGCTTGAACTCATGGTAGGTGATTTGGCATTAGAAGAAATTGAGGAAAGTGCAATAGAGTGGATCTCACTCCAGCTCACCACTGTAAAAGGTTCACTGAGATGAATATCTATCACTTTTAGGTTTAGTAACAAGGGCCCAAATAGTTTTTCTTACTGCATCGACAGAAGAATGTCCATGAAGTTATATATATTTCCATGTAGTTATATATTCAGTTGAGAACTTAAAGTGCAAAAAAAAGGAAGAAGAAGAAGAAGAGGGAAGTATAAGCATTTAGCTCAGACAACAGTTGGTTGTGTGAAAACATATTGCAGAAAAAAAGTAGTGGCATGAAAGTTGTTTCTTCATTATTTTTGAGGATATTCGACTCCCATGACCTAAACAAAATTAGATACAGCAATATAAACATGAACTAAGCCAATCATTATATATATCATAGTTATATTTAATCCTGCATTCTTATATGTAGATACATGCGTTCAAAACACATTTATCGTTCATTTTTCTTTTTTCTTGTTATTGTTATGCATGGCTAACCACATGAGCGGAAGATTAGAATAACTCTGAGAAATTTTGATTGAAATTTGTTCTAATGGAGAAAAACCGTAATCATTTCACGACGAATATAGAATAATCGTCTTTTTGTTTTGTAACGTGTCTAAGAAATCTTTTTAAATTTTTTTTTGGTTGTCCATTGCATCGGATTTCACATAGTCTATCAGTTTAATGATCTCTTGATGACGTTTCATGATCTAAACATCTTACATCTATTAGCTTATTCTTCCATGTGAAGTAGCAGAAGTTGAAATATGAAACCAATTTCAATTTCCTCCATTTCAATTCCATAATGCAGTGATGTATAATATTCATAATTATTTTAGAACATTTTACTTTGTTAGGACTGAGGAAACTTTCATCTTTGCTCTTGCTTTTGCCTCTTTGATTGTTCAAGTTGTTGTGCTATTTCTCTACAACTTTTTGTGCTCATTTTACAAACCCTAAATTCTCTCTCATTAATTCCAATGGTAATTCAATTGATAATAGATATGAATTGTAAATTCAGACGTTCTGAGTTTGAATTTTCGCAATTCCTTGAAGGCAGGCCATGAGGGATTTATTCCTCATGAATACCCAGACCAGAGAGAAAATTAGTCAAGATACGTATAAACTTACCCGAGAAATAATGCATTTACAATATTAGATAAATAGTAAATTTCACTTTTAATATTTAGACCCGTCGTTGACCCAGTAACCACAATAATTAGGTCTTATCCCTAAATTAAATCCAATATTGTAAAAATATATATGAACAAAAATTGTTATTATTAGGACCATTTACCTTATTCAACCAAGATGATTAGGTTTTCGATTCCACACACACAAAAAAAAAAAAACAAAATGTAAAAACCATTAGCACTAGTGACATGGAAAATAGTAGTTCATTGTTTGGAGTGCAGAAGGCAACAAAGCCATGATCTTGACAGGACTTAATAACAACCCAAAACATATCTATCCATGCTAGTTAATTAGCTGTTTCAAAACCATAAAAATGTTGCAGAACTCATTAATCATTTAAAGCTATATGTTTACCTTTTAGCCAATGACTACACATCACGTGTCCACTTTTCTTACTTTATTATTTTTTTTTTATCAATAACTATAAATCATTGAATTAAAAATAAAAGGTTGTTTTTCGGCACGATAACGCACAAGTACCATAGCCTTACCTTACCCTAATTAATTACTCTGAAAATTGATCGTCGGTGAAGATTATTGTTATCTCGAAAAAGATGCAACAAACAGTGCTTTAAGGGTGTGAGAAGATACCAATTTGTGGGCCCTTGTTTCACTATACTTCCTTTTTCTATTCCCCCCGGCCCTCAGCGTCGCTGACAAATCCAAGCTCAATGAGAACTTACCACCTATACCTTCTTCTCTTTTCTTGTGAGGGTCAAAAGCTCGGTCTTAAGGTAATACAGTCTATACACACACAAACACACACATGCACAAACAAAACTCTCTCTCTCTCTCTCTCTCTAAATCTAAATAATAGATTAATTCTAAAGTATGAGTTTAATTTAGTTGCCATTTGTTTTATTTGCAAGTTTTGCGGTTCATTTTTTTTTATTTGGCTTCAGTGTCCTCGTGATTTGCCGACCCATGGTCCTGCATGAGAAAGGTATTCAATCACACACTAATTTGCTCATCTGTTCGGAGTTGTTTTGTTCACTTTGAAAGTAATGGCATATTCGGCTTTCCCAATGAACATTGAGTTGCTTGTTGGATTTTTTATTTGGTCTAAAACTTTTGGAGAATGTGATTTGTATATTCCAGAGAGAAGGCTAAGGGATTCTATGTAAGATCCTTTTCCTCCTCTTCTTCTCTCTAATTCATAGTGTGTTAGACTATCTCTAATAGAAATTTAAACTCTTATCCAAATTTGAATAAAAAAATAATAAAAAGTTTGATATGGTATAGATTTTCCAACGGAGAAACCCAAATTTAAAGAAAGAGGAATTCCAAATTTTGAAAAAAAGGTAAAATTTGATCATTGAATTTTTAAAGAATGACGAAATCTCATTATTAATAATTTGGGTTTAAAAAAGAATTTCTCTTGATATGGGTTTAAAAAAGAGTTCTCATTCATTTGACATGTGTATGAGCCTAGCAAGAAAGAAACATTTTAGACCATTTTTACTCAAATATAAATTTGCATATAAAAAAGGTTAACAACCGGAGATGCTCTTATATATTACCATTCATTGTCATAGAGAACACCCTAATTTTATCTATACACTCTACCCTGCGATGGGAAAGTTTAGAGTGGAGCAGAAAATTTTCTCAACTAAAGTTTTGTTTTAAGGTTGGAACAAGTTTTTTCACATTGGTGAAAAGAATATCAACAAGATTTTGGCCATAGATGTTGACAAGAACGAGGTATTATGGATTGAAAAAGGTATTCATGACCACAAAAGGTTTCTCTGCAGAAGAATGCGAGAGAAAGGGGTGTGCGTTGTGGATGGAGGCGGTCAATAATTGCAAGGGTGTCTTTATCAGAGTAACAAAACTTTTTAGTAATGGTGAAAGAGTGGGATTGAATGTACCAAAAGGAAAGGAAGGAAGAGGTTGGTTGGATGTTGCAAAAGCTAACAAAGATGAAGTGAAGGAAAAAAGTGGGCAGAAAGATTTTATAATGGTGGGAACAGAAGACGGTAAAAACATAGCATATTATGGGTTAACAATTGGAGTGGATGATCAAATTTGCTCAAATGAAAATGATTTAATTGTTGCAAGAGGATGGGAACGAGTAGTGATTTATGTAAGAGAAAGTATTTTTTATGGGTGAAGTGATATCAGACGATCACTGATAAGGAGATTAAACTTTGAAGTGCGTTTATTTCCTTTTCAAGTTGACTGTGCGATAATATTTTGTGACAATATTGCTCCCACATAAGAGGTTTGTGGATGGGAAAAGTGCCAATTATATGACACTGTTTGTGTTAAACTCCATAGGTGGAGACCAGAATCAAATTCAATTCATAACAGAATTTCTTTTCTGGAGAGTTGGATAGGTATTGTGGGTATTAGTGTTGATAGAATTAAGATTGAGGTTTGGGCAAGGGGACTAGGTTGTGAAGTGAGTGAATGACTGTTAAAATATTTGGGGCTTCCTCCATGTCTCTCAATTTCTGGAATCCAGTTGCTAAGAAAGTGCAAAAAAAAAAAATGCTTGGATGGATGGAAGAAGAATTGTTTGTCTAGGGGTGGGAGACTTATTTTGATCCAAGCGGTCTTGGGGTAGTATTCCTACTTATTTTATGCCAATTTTTAACATTCCAAAGAAAGTGGCTAAACTTTTGAAGAAATTGATGAGATATTCGTTATGAAAAGGAAGTGAAGAAGGAAAGAGAGACCATGTTGTTAGGTGGGATGTGGTGTCAAAGTCTAAAACAAAGGGGGAGAGGGAGGTTGGGGAAGTGACTTTGAAGGCTTCCATTAGAATTTGATTCTTTATGGCATTCCATTATAAAAAGTAAGTATGGAATTCATTCCAATGGATGAGACTGTAATGTGGCAAATTGAGGTTCCCTTCGTAATTCTTAAAAATTTATTTCCCAAGGTTTGGATGATTTTAGAAGACATGTCAATATGAGGGTGAGGAATGAGGAAAAAGTTCAATTATCGGAGGATTTGTGGATTGGTGAGTCATCTTTGAATGTGCAGTTTTCTCGTCTTTTTAGATTGTGAAGATCTCGTGATGCTGTTGTTGGTAGAATGTATTGTTCCTCATCTTTTTCTCACGAGGTATAGAATTTGAATTTCTTCTGCATTCTAAATGATCGGGATCTAATTGAGTGTTTTTCTCTTATTTTGTTGCTTGGTTCGGTGTCTTTGGATTTTTCAATTAGTGATAAAAGACTTTGGTCTCTTGAGTCATCCAAAATCTTTTCTTGGTGTTCCTATTTTGAGTGGTTAATTGATGATCCCAATGATTCTATATTTGAACCTCATTCAATGATTTGTAAGGCAAGAGTTCCTACTAAAGTGAAGATGCTAGCTTGAATGATTGCTCATAGAAAGGTGAATTCTTGTGATTTATTGCAAAAGAAAAGGCCAAACACTTATATTTCTCATCGTTGGTGTGTTCTTTACAAAAACAGCTATGAGAGTGTTGACCATTTATTTCTTCACTGCTCTATTGCTCGTTTCTTGTAGCATAAATTGTTGGTGGAGGCCGATTTGGTGTGGGTTACACCAAGAATTATGCTTCCATTTTGGTGATGTGCCTTGGTAGTTTTGGAAATGATAAAAAATCTTTCATTTTATGAAGCAATTTAATCTTGTCAATTCTTTGGGTTGTATGGATAAATAGAAATTGAAGAATTTTTGAAGGAAAAGAGGAG